TATATATATATATAAGAACGTCTGCAGAAGGAAGTGGATTTAAAATGAAGAAACAGGCAAACAGTGGAGTAAATGCTGACTCAGCATTCACACTAATACAACAAACCAATTTAACATCAAAACCATTTAAAAAACAAACTGCTGTCTTTTGTTTTGTTCATTTAAGAATTGATTTGTTGTTTTTTGTCCACTTGACCTTTTTTCTACTTCCAGGTGAGATTTGTTTGGAGGAGTTTATCGAGGGGGCAGAGAAGGACCCGTGGCTCCTGGATCGGCTCAAACTGGACATTGGACCAGTAGACTGGGTCTTCAGGAGAAGTCCTGATGAATGACTGAACACCGTGTCAACACTCTGCCTTACTGTTTGTCAAATGCCTTGGTTTTTATTTTCAGAGCAGATCATCTGCACTCAGACTCATCTTTACATTTACACAGTGTTCTCATTTTTTATTTACTCTTTTGTGTGAGAAGATACTTCAGTATTCAATGAATTACAAATAGCTGAGTGTTCCTAAGACTAAAATAAAATATGTTTGCAATTTATTACAATCTGCTGCCTGCCCTGTCAGAAATACACCAGACAGGACCTCATAAGATGAGAAATGCTCAAAATCAGAAGAGCTGGCTCTTCGTTTGTCTTTCTTTTGCTGGTCATGTGACCAATCACATGCAAGGACCTGGGTGGGTGAATTTAGTCTTCGGGGTCTGCCATCCTGCAGGTTTTACCTGTTTCTCTGCTCCAACACCTGATTTTAATGAATGGATGATTAATTATCTTCTGCAGAACTTGAAGAGATGATACAATGTCTGAATGAGGAGCTTGGAGCAGAGAAACAAGTGAACCATGCAGGAGAGTGACCCTCCAGAACCAAAATGTTCCAGCCTGATGTAGGGTCATAACATGAAGACAGAGAGGGGCAGATGTGATGATCCCCTCACAATAATCATTCAATAAAAAAATCAATGTTTGACTCAAACATTATAGAAAAGCAAGAATGTCGGATTTTGTAACAAAACAAATACAAAAAATTAGGCAATTATAAGACTTCTCATGCAAACATTAAATGTGAAAGAGTTTATCAACACAAAGTATTCCTGTTTGCCAAGTTATGCTAAAATATGAGGTTACAGATATTTAAGAGCCAGCTCTCTGAAAAGAGCCAAACTTCCCATCGCTAAAAATATCCTCATCTTGTTTTGTTCTATTGTGCAGCACAGAAACCAGAACCATGTGTGTTCAGCTGCAGCCAAATCCTAAACACTACGGCAGCTTTTTCTCATCGTATGTATTACAGAAACACTGAACAGATCAGAGTCAGATCACCAGACACCACATGTCATCATGGTTTCATTGTAACAGAAGTATCCCATGAACTTCTGGTGAACTTAAATAAATCTGTAAGTATTAACAGGATGTAAAACCTTCAGTCATGGAGCTGATCCCATTCAAGATGGCTGCCACAGCTGATCAACCTCATCAACACAATAAATGTGTTTGAAGTGTCGACTTCTTCACTTTACACTGAAAAACACTGAGTCTGTTGTTTATTACACCATCCATCCATCTGTTCATCCATCCATCCATCAGTTCATCCATCCATCCATCCATCCATCCATCCATCTGTTCATCCATCTGTTCATCCATCCATCCATCCATCCATCCATCCATCTGTTCATCCATCTGTTCATCCATCCATCCATCTATCCATCCATCCATCTGTTCATCCATCCACAGCTCATCAACCTCATCAACACAATAAATGTGTTTGAAGTGTCGACTTCTTCACTTTACACAGAAAAACACTGAGTCTGTTGTTTAATACACCATCCATCCAGCTGTTCATCCATCTGTTCATCCATCCATCATCCATCCATCCACCATCCATCATCCATTCATCCATCCATCTGTTCATCCATCTGTTCATCCATCCATCCATCATCAGTCACCTCTTGTTCCAGGTGATGGAAATTTTATCAACTTTATATTACTTTTCAAACTGATCTTGTGGTTCAGTTCAGTGAAGGAGTGATGGAGTAAAGGAGTGATGTAATGATGTAGTGATGTGATGGAGTGATGATGTGATGTAGAAGGAGTGATGTCGTGAAGGACTGATGTTGTGATTTAGTAAAGGAGTGATGTAATGATTTAGTGAAGGAGTGATGTAATGATTTAGTGAAGGAGTGATGTAATGATTTAGTGAAGGAGTGATGTAATGATTTAGTGAAGGAGTGATGTAATGATGGAGTGATGATGATGATGATGATGCAGAAGGAGTGAATATTTGGAACAGTCCAGTTTTACAGATATTTACCTGAAATATGTTGTTCTAGTTGATGACAATTGTCTGTTAGCAAAATATTTCACAACCACTCTGTGAGTTTTCATGAAACTTCTAGAAAGTAATCACTGGGTGTCAGTTAACTGTTAGAGACCGTCTTTAAGATGGCCACTGTGTCTAATCAACATTAGCCAGCACAGAAGAGGCTATAAAATCATGATTCAGCCTCTTGGGCTTTATTTACACAACAGATTTTTGCTTCAGACTTTGGCATTAACTGTGGGTTTCAAATCTGTTTATCTGTTAGAATCATTGGATGGCTTTTAATGAAACTTTCAGAAGGTAATCACTGGATGTAAATCTATTTTTACTTTTATGGAGTAACATCAAGATGGCCACCAACCACAGCTGATAGAGCTTTGCACACACATACTAACTCGTTTAATTTAGACATAGTTTTTTTATTTCAACGTAACTTTCCTTCAGCTTGATGTAGCTTCAGTTTTAAAGGCAACAATAAGATCCAACAGAACCTCTCCAGACCTCAAAGAGCTTTTACTACAGTTTTATCCTGACTGACTGTTTGTAGCCTTTAAGACTCTTTACTGGTCAGATCAAAATCCTCTGGCTTTAAACACACACACACACACACACACACACACACACACACACACACACACAC